GCCTTCTCCGGCCGCGCCTGGTTACCGATCGGCCACCCCGCCCCTCCCGGGGAGAATGTTTCGGCCTTCAGGTCAGTGCAAAAACAAAACGGGGAACAAAAACACAACACAACACCTGACGAGAGCAGCGGCCCAGAGCTGGCACGGACTCCGGAGAGGTGGTGAGGACTCTGCACTCCTTTGCCAGTTCATCAAATACGGAAGGAAACTGGGGCAGGTTTCCCCCAGAACGTGAGTAACCGGGGCCCCAAGTCTTTCTCTCACTCCACTTACTTTTGGCCGCGTACTTGTTCTCCTTCCGCGTCTTCCCCGCCTTCTTCAGGCACCCGGCGCACACGAAGCTGCAGGGAGAAGGGAAACCAGCCGAGTCAGGCAACTCATCGGCACTACTGACCACCGACGAGGAAACCAGAGGGAGGGAGAGGGAGAGGGAGTTTTCGTGGGGCTCGGTGTCACTCCCCCGAGGACGCAGAGACGGGAGAGGAGGGAGAAGACGGGGGAAGAGGGAGCAGTGAAAGACGAGGACGGGGGACGCCGTCTCACCCTGCTGGCCAGATGGTGTCGTTGTGCAGGACACAGATCTGGTGCATCTTCCGACCGCAGTCGATACATTCCACGAGCCTGCGGGGCAAATCACACAGGTGAGCTGGACTCACTTTCTTTCTGGATCCAAAAGAAAAAGCAGCAAAGCAGTAATACGGCCCTGGGTGTGCCTTCCCTCCTCTGCCTCAGCTCCCTGCCCTCTCACCCACCTATCTCCTGAGCCTCAGTCTCCTGCACTGCCCTCTGCTCGCTGCCGTTTGTCTCTCTTCCTGGCTTTCCCTGCTCTTCCTGGCCGAACGCCCAAGTTACACATCCTCTGGACCGCTCGAGGCCGGACCCCGAGCCCCTCAGCCCTAAACCTGTCTAGATCCCGACTCTGGCTTGATCCCTACTCGACTCGGGGAGACTCGCAGACGACAACGAAAGCGCGAAACGAGAGCACACCTGCAGGAACTGCGAAGAAAATTCATACAAGATTTAGAAATCCAGGCTCCACGAACACCTCACAAGTTACTACTTTAGTCTGCATCAACAAGTACTTCAAACAGGGCTTTACTGCTGGCATCCCTCCCAGTATATCCAAGCATGGTCACTGACCAAACTCCTAAATCATCCGTGGGCTTCACAGCTCTGTGGGCCTATTCAGAAACGGCTCCTCTAGCTCGCACCCTGCTGGCACCAGAAGGGCCTCGTCCCGAAACCGGAGGAGGAGATGAACGGCGGTCACGCCAGGCGGCCAGCACACGGGGCGGGCCGTGCGACCCAAGACTTACAGCTCAGGGTCCAGCGTGTCGTTCTTCTTCTTCTCG